TCGCCGTCCAGGGCCCCAGCTTCGAATCGCCGCTCAGTCTCGCTCAATTTCTCGCCAGCTACGAGCGCATCGGCTTCCAAGCCACCTCGCTCGGACGCGCCATCGACATCGTCAACAAGATGGTGGGCATCCGTTATTTGCGGCCATCGATGACAATAAACGATCGCGAAAGCGCAGCGTAAATGGCGGCTCAGCGACGAGCCCATGGCCGACGACGAGCCCGAGCCGTACAACGACCCCGCCGTGCGCGTCGCAACGAAATGCACCGTCATGCTCGGCTACACATCCAACCTCATATCATCTGGGCTGAGAGAAGTCATCCTCCATCTCGTAAAGCACAAGCACGTCTCCGCGATCGTCACGACAGCGGGCGGCATCGAGGAAGACTTCATCAAGTGTCTGGGCAAAACCTACCTCGCAGACTTCAACCTCGACGGCGCCTCGCTGCGAAAACGCGGTCTGAACCGCATCGGGAACCTTCTTGTACCCAACGACAACTACTGCAAGTTCGAGGATTGGGTCATTCCCATCCTCGACAAGTTGCTCGAGGAGCAGACCTCCGCTGGCACGATCTGGACACCTAGCAGCGTCATCCGCCGTCTTGGGCAGGAAATCAACAACGAAGAGTCCGTATACTACTGGGCGTATAAGGTGCCGTCTGCCCCAACGAATTTACCTCCAATATCGTCATTTATGCATGCATGCAGAACAACATTCCAGTCTTCTGCCCCGCGCTCACGGACGGCTCGCTTGGCGATATGATCTACTTCCATTCCTTCCGCAACCCAGGCCTCGTCATCGACATTGTTCGCGACATCCGCGCGCTCAACGACATCTCGCTCAACTCGAAAAAGGCGGGCATGATCATCCTTGGCGGCGGTGTATGCAAACACCAGATCGCAAATGCCATGCTCATGGTCCGTCGTCCCTCGCCCGACGGTACGGTCGTCTACTGATACGGCACTTAGCGTAACGGCGCGGATTACTCTGTGTACATTGTGCGTTCCATCCGCAGCATCTTCGAAGTTAGGATCTCACCCTTACCCCTTTAGAATACCGGGCAGGAGTTTGATGGCTCGGACTCCGGCGCACGTCCAGACGAGGCGGTATCATGGGGCAAAATTCGAGCAGGGGCTGAAGCTGTCAAGGTCCCAACATCTTGTACCCTCGCTGTCTGATACTGATCGTGATCCTCGCAGGTTTTCGCAGACGCGACGTTGGTCTTTCCCCTCCTTGTGGCTGCCACATACGCTACCGATCAATCTCAATAGTATGGGATTGTCTTCGTCTAGCATTGTACATGTGCGAGTTCGTCTGGACAATTACGCCGTCGTAGGATCATCGCCTGAATCAGCGGGAAGGACGGTTTGCTTGATACCGCTCTGCTTCTCCTCATCTTTGACCACAAGATCCTTCGCTTTCGCATGAGATGCACTGGTGTGTGTCAATGCCGTTCTGGGTTTCCGATCGTCAGACACTCGCCTGAGATGCTCGACTCGCAGCTGCTCGATCGTCAGCGGCGTCCTTCTGCAATTGATAGGAAACCATACCTGCGGGCCCTTGTAAGTCTTGCGTGCAACGAGTGCGAAGAACAAGGCTGCGAGCGCCAGCGGGCCTCCCCATACCACGATCGTCCTGCATGTAAGCTCGGAGTGAGAAATTACTCGCACGCTGTGAATGTGGTTCTGCACCAGTTCATCGTCTGCGCAGTCAAGTTCGCACCGCGGACCGCCGGGAAACAGAGGATGGGAAGCATCAGCGTAACGTATGCGCACGCAAACATTCCTATCGGTTTGCTCCATCTGCCCAGATTCCACGGCCCCGGACGCCAGCGGTCGCCCGCGAAAAAGACGCGCTATGAAGAGAAACGTGTTTAGGAATCAGGTCTGTAGAATTCCAGCCTGAGTCGTCTCACCAGGATGATTGGCATGGTAAATGCAAAACTGTATGTCGTGAGCGTGTATCGTGCGACAGCGAGGGTGAATAGCTGACTATGCGCCGACTGCTCCGGTGGAGAAGATGGCACCGATTGCAATGGGGCCGGCAAAGATGAGACAAAGCTGCGCTGTATTGACGATGAAGTTGAAGATGCATGCGTTCACTGGCGTCGTAGTCTACGGATGCGGAGCGTTGTAAGTAAACGGCTGCACCTTCGTGTTAGTACGCGTCGGAGACGCGTACCCGGCGGTCGACATGGCAGACGATGCGGCTGGCGGGGAGTAAACCGTCACGAGCATAGGCGAATGCCAAGCGGGAGCACGATATGGCGCAACCCTGCGCGCAGAAGATACCGCAGATGACTGAAGGCATGTGAGATACAAGGGAGGGAAGACCAGAACAGACGAACTGGTAATAACTCCAAACGCTGTTGTCGTAGTCTTCGATGTTGCCTGGAAGTTGAGTCAGTAGATCGCGGGTGCAAAATAGCACGTGCAGTACTTGAGCAAGGGCTGCGATGAAGGGTTGTCCCAGGGGAGACTCCATGACAGCTCCGACGTCAGTGATCTGCGGCGAGTCATGAGACGAACGCGACATGTCGTGGTAGAAGCTGGACGCGTACCACATATGACTGTGACATGGCGAGAGTTAGCCTTAGTCTTTTCTCGCCGAGGATTGCGAGGAACGACATACCAACACCAACACCAGGAACCTGGTTATGTAAATGGACTGACGGCAATGTCACGGACCTGCTTACCAGCCAAATATGCCACCTGAGGCAGAGGTCATCCAGATAGCGCGCGGGGTCGCGATCTGCGAATTCGAACACTCCTCGGATAGATGGAACGGCGCGTCGTAACCACTCATGGTCCTGCGTGTTACGCGCATTAGACTGCGAGATAAACCATTATAATAGTGATGGATGTACATACCAGATTGCCGTGAGGAACGACAACAGAATTGCTGTCCAAGGTACTGTCAATTCATAACACCTTACCGTGCAAAGCGGGACTTCACCTATGCCATCCGGCCAATCCTGCCGTTGTTTGAGAGTCATGGAGAGCGTCGATCGCATAACTCACAGTGCCATTGGAGATTCTGCGTCAAACTGAGATAGAGTCAGAAGTCCGAGAGGCACAGGATACCGACGTACACTCCCCAAACCTCGGTACTGGGTCGGAATCCTGTGGAACATGAGGGCCAGAGCGTACATTCCTTGCACGAACCACTTACTAGGTCTGTTGACCGCCGCAGCAGGAAGTCCTATAATAACAACGAAGAGCCCTGCTGTCTGAAACCACGTCATTGCGCTATGTAGTCGGGCGAGCCACCGTGTCGGAAGCGTTGAGCAAATGAAGCACAGGAAAGTCAGCGACAGGGTGATACCGCTAGAAATTGTTCAGAGGAGGGCCCAACGCAGGTATAGCTCGACCGGACGTACAACATCTTCGCGTTTGTTGCCTCGAAGTCCGGGTTGTGGAGCTTGACGAGCGCCACGATCATAGCCGCATTTCCTGAGTGAAAGGTCAGGCATATCCAGTGATAAGTCGACAGTCTGACCATAGTTCACCGAAGGATTGCCTGCGAGAGCGTCGTCAGCTCACGTCTGCGTCAAACGGCTGCTGTTCTCACCAGATGACAGGCCAAGCCAATTTGACCTGATAGGAGAATGAGACCGAAAGAAACCCTTGAAAGGCACGCACCATCCCGTGAGATAAGCCAACAAGGGACCCCATCCCGGCGGAGCCTACGCTTCGTCAGGTTCATCGAGATGCCCGCGATCTACTCGATATACCAATACGCCAACAGCGTAGTACACTACACCAACTATCAGTGCAAAAGCTAGCAAAAGAGACACGGAAGCGTACGGCCTCCGCTCGTTGGCATTGAGCTTGCAAGCTCTGCCATGGACAGGGCAACGCATTGTATTCCGGTGAACGCCTGCATCCAACGTGAGCTTATACTCCCTCAGAAATCAGATAGCATACAATGAGCCACCCCCTGAACTTGGCGTCAGTGCCAGTTTCTTCAAGCGGGAGATGCAGCGTACCAGGTCAAGCCGGCCGTTCCAGAGTCTGCGAGGCGGGGTTAGCTACGAGACTGTCTCCTCGGAAGGCGCTTGATTCGCACAGCCCAAACTATCTGTTCCAGCGTCAGTTACGCGTCATAGGTGCTGAGAGCATTCGTCACATGATAGAGTTGCAGCGATGCTGGGAAGAATGCCGAGGACGGAGAACGACACGCTGAAACTTGAGAACAGGGAGAACTCCCTGCCGCGACAGGTGAATCTCGCGGAAGACTACTCTGGTGAAAGGTTCGAACCTCTTGAACTCTTGCTTGTACCCGCATGCCTGCAGGGCTGCCTCGTCCATGAGCTCGATCGAGTCCATGGAGTTGAGCGGTTCTGCTCTGAACTTCTTCTCGTCGGACGCAAGACTCGCATGACCGGTCAGCGTCGCCATAGTCGTCGTAGCTGGAAGTGCGAGGAGACAAGGAGCGCGCTCCACCGACACAAACTTGCATATCTAATCCCCAACAGCTTCCACCGCTCGCTGCCACTTCCCTGTCCAAGTCAACCGCCCCGATTGTCCGCAAGATAACGACAAGCGCAAGCCGCGCTTAACGTAGGCACATAGACATACTCGTAGACCTGTTCGATCCGGTTTCGTCGCCGTAGGACCAGCGTAGTCCTTTCGTGCGTGAATGTCCAGTCTCAGCGCCTAGTGGTCGAATCCCCGCAAGAACACGAACAAGCAAGCCCTGCTAAACATGGATGCGTGATCTGGGCTTAGGGAAGGCAAGACAAAGCAAATATACGCGCGTCGTCGACCGCCAAACGATAGCAGGCCTAGAAACACAAAAATAGAGTGGTCGTAATCCTTGAGCTTCACCACCTTACGTTGGACGCGTAGCAGTGGAATCCAAGCATAATCGAATAGGTGTCGGCAAGAGAGAATAAGTAGGCACAGTCGGTCGACACCGGCCGATACAGAGACAAAAAAGACGGAGTGACCGCCTGGCCGGCAACATCGCGCGTTCGGACTCACGTAAGGCAAAAGTAATCCCTTGAGCCTGGATCGAACAGGCGACACCCAGATCGCGATAACCAATTACAGTCTGATGCTCTACCAACTGAGCTATCAAGGGATGCTGTCAGAGTCAATATGCATTAATACAACACCATGTACAAAAGCACGTGCTGAAACATCTGCAAGCAATTCCTTACCAACCCGGAACTCACATGAGAGCTCTCATATTACAGCCCCTGTTGCATGTGCCATTCCACCCTCGGACCTACCTCGGAGTTGTAGAAGAGTGCTACGGTTATTCGATTGAACATGTACAGATTTCGAACGGAGTAAACATGCATTTTCAATACACGAATGTCTCCCCAACAAACTCCTCGCTAAGATTCCACAACTCCTCCGGGCCGTCTACACTCTTGGCTGCAGGGCAGTGCGGCTCTGCGACCTGGCAGTCCTCCATATAGGCTCCGTTGCATTCCCCGAGCTTGGGATCTAGGGCGGCTACACAAGTTGTAGCCACACCTTGGCCGAGGGTCTTCTCCTTGCACTGCCATTCATTGGTGACTAGAATCTTAAGTTGCTGCAATTCTTCCGCTGGTACGAGAGTTAGTGCATTGGTGTTCCACAACGCTGCAGCGGCGTGAGTTGCACTGTACACAGATGGGTAATTGATCACGGGCTACGTACTCCCAGGGTGAACGGATAGAGATACTAAGCCTCGATGTCCCAGGACAGTCGCGAGTCTTCTGGTGAACAGGAGATTACCCTTGTGTAAACGCCATTGGTAACATGAGGGCGCGTCTGTCAATCATTCGAGCACGTACGAGTTTTGACTGCGCATAAGCCGCCCACCACTTGTATTCTGATTTCTCGAAATTGCAGTCTGAGAAGTCTATAGTGCCGTCTGAGTTGAGCGGAGAAGGTTCGACTCCGTCCTCACCGCCAGTGCCTTCCCGGTGCACCAGGCTCGTAAGGTTCACCACACGCGGTGCCTCACTTCTCAGGAGAGCCGGCATAAGCAGATTCGTGAGCAGGAAAGGACCGACATAGTTCGTCGCGAAGATCTCCTCGATTCCGTCCACAGTTCTCCTATAGGTTCGAATGTTTGTCGCCGCGTTGTTGATGAGGACATCAACCTTGGGGAAGTCCGCAAGTACACGCGAAGCTCCGGCGCGGATAGACGAAAAGCTCGACAGATCGATCTCGTAGGTGCGAACGTCGATGGAAGGATCTATGGCGCGCACGGCTTGTACAACCGGTGCGTACTTTGCCGGTGTGCGCCCGATGAGGAGCAGCGCGGCAGGAAGTCCCTTGGCGAGAGCAAGCACAGTGCCCTCTCCCAGCCCGTTAGGAGTAGGACCTGTCACAGCGACTGCAATTTGCTCGTGTCAATCATGCACGATAACGGGGAGCAATACAGGCTTTACAAACTCACATATGCGCCCCGCAACCTGCTGTGAATAAGACTTGACGACCTCATCGCCGTCGGTTTCATGGCCCCAGTTCGGGAACGATGTCATGGGTGTCCAAGGGACGGAATTCTCAAGACGGGTGTGGTGTCGCAGTGCGCACCTCTTATAGCTGGAAGCATTACCCGTTCCTTCGGTGTCCATCACAAGCGAAGACCTGCCGAAAGCCAGGCCTTTGGAAACATCAGGGTTCACTTCGACCAGTCACGACCAGAGCTGTTTCTCTGGGTTTAGCGAGTCTCAGACTGTGAGTGTCCCTGTTAGTCGATTGAACAGAACTGCGCAGATAACACGATGTCTAGACCTAGACGACCAACGTGACGATTCAGTATAAATCCACGAGCGTACTCGCGAGGCGTGCCGATTATACTGTTCTTCGGTGTCTATGCCACCTGCACGGTTCACTTCCATGCAAATTTTTTCAACATATGTCACTTACAGGGTAAAAGTCAGGTCTCCCTGCACGTGGACGTACGCGCCCTGAGATCAAGCTCATGCAGTGGGGCAGTGGCTACCGTCCCTTCACGGCTGCCGTACCCATGGTCTGTAGTCCCGCTTTCTCAGTGGCAAATCAAATGCTATCAGCGCTAGATTAAATAAAAAGGAGACACATAGCGAGTATTCTCCTATCGCTTGGGAGGCGGGCCGTAAAGGTCAGCAATCCACCCTTGAGTGTCGCCGTACTTGATGCCCTCATAGAAGACACTAGCCATCCGTTCGTACGCCGCGTCGTTCGGATGCGTCCCATCCACCAAATCCTCGGGAGCAACAACTGAATGGGAGTCGACGAAGACGACCCACCGGCCCACGTCCGTGAAGCGCTTCACGACGTCAGGTATGGCTGCGTTGTACTGGTCGATCAGAGCGTTGGCGTCCGGGTTCCCATTGGGCGGGAGGGTCGAGACAACGACCATTGTCTGCCACGGCCAATCCAAGATATCCTCGATGATCCAGCCTAGCCGATCGGGCGCACCCGCCGTGTCGTTCTTGAAGACCATGTCGTTCGTCCCTGCGAGGATAGTAACGATGAAGACAGAAGTTATAAGTAGTTATGTTCGTACCGGCGAGGAGAGTGACGATGTTGGCGCGTTGGTTAGGCATCGCGGCCTGACCCTTGTCGTGAATCTCGCTGAGGATGGCGCCTGGGTAACCCTCGTTATCCGGGTCCTGAAAGTCGCCCGCCTTTTGCGAGCCAACCATGTTCACGACATGGCCATCGTTCGCAAGGAGGTTGTAGAGAGTTGCGCGGTAGCCGTTCCCGTGGGAGCTCCCAACGCCGTTGGTGATCGAAGCTTAATGTCACGCGATTAACATCAATGTACCGAGTGCAGCTATTAGAGCGACGCACCGCCCAGTGGCATGATTCTGCACGTCAGGTACGAAGCGTGAACATACGGGAGAAGGAGGACCGCGCTCAGAACGGCGTTTGAGAAGAACATGTAGAAAAAAAGGAAAATAAGCTGAAAGACTTGAAGCGAAGAAGAAGGCAAGAGTGCGAATGCTAGTCGAACGCGGTGCTCCTTTGTTCTTTATACGCGGCTCTTCAGGGGCATCGAATTCACGAGGCCACGCAGTGCGACTGCGGTGTTCAGGGAGCTGAGCGACGCGTACGGGAAGGGGTGGTCGCAGTAAGGAGATGGAAACACTGATAGAGGTTGGCCAATGGGCAGTGCGCGGTTCAGGAGAGCGAGTCATCGTAACTCAGGAGCGTTGCACGGATCTTGCGATGCAAGAGGCGCGTGAAGCGGACAGAACGGATGCAGAGAGAGTTGATTCCATGAGCCGCGAACGCTTGGAATCCCAGTGCCAGCATCCAGAAGAACCATAAGACGGAGACGAGGCCAGAACAGGTCTAACACGCTCATGGGTTGAAGTCAAGACGCGCAAAGTGCCGACGCGACTCGCCTTCCGACCACGATGCCGTCGAGCGCAGAAACGGCCATCATCGTCAAGACGGCCATTGCGATAGAATAGTACGCTCACATGCACGCGTTAGAGCTCGCCTCTGACTTGTAGCAAAACAGCGCCTCGCTCCGTAACGCGAACCACTGTCCCGCCGGGTTCTACGTCTGGCCGTCGCCGTCGTCCATATTCGTCTGGGACTGCGTCTTCTTCGCGCACCAGGGCTACTACAACAACGCAGTGCTCAAAGTTCGCCTCACATTCCCCACCGACTATCCCAAGCGTCCGCCCTCCGTGCACTTCGCGACCGACGTCTTCCATCCACTGGTCTCGCAACGCGACGGCACGTTCTCGCTCACACCGAGATTTGCAAATGGCTGGAAACCTGGCAAGCATCATGTCTATGATGTGCTCCATTGGATCAAGACCAGCTTCAAGAAGGACGCGCTCAAGTATGTGGGCCTTGACTTTTTAGTTGCGTTCGATACTAACTCGACCTGCAGCATGTTCGTAATGGCCGGTCCTCAGTGCTTTGCTTGCTAACTCTTCGTAGGCTCCAGGAGAAGGACTGCCTTAACAAAGAGGCATACCGGTGCGTTGCTCCTCTCAAGCAATGCATCGTCTCACGTATTTTGGATAGACTATACCACGAGAACACCTCGTCGTTCGCTGCGCTCGCTGCACAGTCCGCCACGCTGTCCCAATCCAAGTCTGCCCTCTTCGACCGCGATCACCCCTCGCTTGTTGGCAAGGGCAAGGACTCCATCATCTTCAAGGAAGTGCCACAAGAGGACCTCGCCAAAGTGCGCACCGCACTTGGTCTGAGCGAGTGGAATCTCGAAGACTTCCAATAGTAGACGAGCCAACTTTCTTCACGTTCGTCTCGAGTCACGATACTGTATTTCTAGGGGTCTATGGATATGGATGTGCGATGTGCGATTAATAGTACAATGCCGTGGGATCCTGTCGTCGCGATCGTCAAAGATAACGAGGAAGCCGTACATATACTGTAGATCTAACCCCGTGCCGTGCTCTAACGGGGGTCTATCATGCCTCAGAAGGCGAGCTACCAACACCGGTGAGGGTCGCGTCGCTCGCAAGAGACGAGTCGCTGTCTATCGTGCTGATAGGTGAAGTCATCATAAGCGGTATCGCTGTTTCCTGCCCCGACTCGTCGTCCTGGACGTTGCACGTTAGCCCAAACGCCGATAGCCATCAGACAGGGAACGCACATCGATATTGCTAACCCGGTGGAAATGTTTAGATAACTTCTCGATGACGAGGCTGTAGCTCAGGTGCTGTGTCAAATTCCTACGAGCAGCGTCAGTGTACGAAAGCTGTGACATGACTGCAATTACCGCTTCGGCTGAACGTTCAAAGAGTGCCTGGCATCCAGCGCAGAGTCCAGCACGTTCGACGAATGCGCGCCTTCGCTCAACGACAGCTTGATGGAGTACTCCTTGTCTGACCGGTCTCGTCCTCCATTACGCTCATACAGCTCAAACGTGATATGCGACTGAACGAGCGCGATCGAGTAAGTATAGCGCTGTATACCTGAGGTGTGCAACGTACGCAGTAATCGAGTTCGGGAATGCGGGGTGACACCAGAGGCAGCCCGCTAAGAAGCACGAGGTTGACAAGCGTGTGTATGTGGCTCTCCTTCGTGAAGTAGAGCGTGAGGCTACTTTGCTCGTTATTCCGCGCAGCTTCCAAGTCTTCGACGACTTTGCGCAAGAGCGGCAAAGACGTC